TCGCCTGTGCCCGGGCAGCCCAGTCCCAGGAGGGGGACGCCAGGGCAGGGCAGAGAAGACGACTCTCCTCGGAGTGTTTCTGTGGGCAGAAATCAGCTCGCTATGAGTGCCAGGTGCCTGCCGCATGCCGTCTTCGCAGCCTTCATGCTGGCACTACGACGATAGCGTCGTCGAGTTTCTCCACCAAGACCAGCTTCTGGGACCCCTGCCCTGATGGGCCATCCTTGTCTTGGGTTGCTCCAGACTGGCTGGCAGATGAAAACGAGGCCCATATATCCTCAAGCAGACCCTGAGGTGCCCGTTTCCCCAGACTTGCTGCTGTTGCTTTTCTCCCACACGACGCTACCCGCCCCGCGCTCCCACCGCACACCTCGTTCACACCCATATGCCTCCCGTCCCGCCGCTTATATTGCGAGGGCAATATAAAGTTGATACTTGATATTGTGCTGAACCAGAACCACGCGCCCCGGTCACCAATCGTAGCCGGCTTGATCAACAAGCTCAACGGCGGCTTTCCTGCTTTGTATGCACGCCAAGCCGACAATTCAGACTCGCAGAAAGTACCCTGGGGAAGCAGGAACAGCTCGAGAAAATTTACCGATTTGCTACCTTGCTCGATTCGGATATCCTTTTGTCCTTTTGGCGCGCCTGTCTCGCTCCGGCCCCTCTCCAGCACTATACGGCACATCGTCAGAGACTGAGAGGCCGACAAAGGCATCTCTTTCGTGACGGTCCACCGGGAAGATAGACGAACGACATATCTAAGGCCTTCGGGAAGACGTATCTCAGGTTAGCTTTCTGGGTTCTAGGGGTTCGGGGAGAGCTTGAGAAACACGCTCCGGCCTTGTCCAGCACCACAAACGACCCAGCCGTTCCTCGCCTTCACACCCCCCCCTTCTCCTGATCCGTCCTCCGTGTACGTTGAAGATCCATCTTCCCTGCCCTCCACGTTCTCGACAAGGCCCGTTTACATGCCGTCACCCCCTGTCGGTTGGCCTGCCGTCTCCTCCTGTCTCCCACACCCCAACCCCGCCATGCGGGCTCCTCCTCGCTGCACCCATCTTGCAGATGGCCGTGCCGCCTTCTTTCATAACCGCGTTGATCCCCTCCCACTGTTTTGGTCTCTGTTATGCTCTCCTACGAACCGTTAATGCTCATGCTTGTTACTGACCTTTCCCTACAGGGAAGTTCACTTCGGTCCGTCTGACTGCCGCTGGCCGTTCTACTCCCGGCAGCTCACCAGCTTCCTTCCGCCAAGGGGACATATAGAAGCTCCCACCTCCCCATCCTCAACGTCGACGACTTTTGCTTGTCGTCTCTCCCCCCTACTCCATCACAGACGCAGCCGCGCTTCAACCAACTGCCTGCACTCGCTTGAGGCCGTCCGTCTTTACATCCTCTAATTCGCAGTCTTGACGACCGCGACCCTTATTTCTTAATCCAAGCACCCTCGTCCTCATCACCACCACTCCGTATTCGAACAAGACATATCACCAACCGCCAAGATGTTATCTAACCCCCTTCATCGGTTCTCTCCTTACCATGCCATCCCCGCGAACACACTCATGTCCAACGGCCACGTTCCGGGAGGCCACCTCCACCCCGCGGGCCTTGATGGCTTAGCTCCAGGATCACACTACGCCCTTCAGCAGCTTCAACAACACGTCGGTGTTCACAACCCACATCTCGCCAGAGCAGGGCCTCAGCAAAAACACAGACAACACCCATATGGCCCTTCTGCACGGGGAGCTGGAGCGGCAGGTCCTATCCGTAGGAGAATCAGCAGAGCGTGTGACCAGTGCAACCAGCTTCGGACAAAGTGCGACGGCCAGCATCCCTGCGCCCATTGCATTGGTAAGTCTCTTTGGCGCTCGTGGTAGCCTAACATGATCCTGACAACCACAGAATTCGGCCTCGGCTGCGAATACATTCGGGAACGCAAGAAGAGAGGAAAGGCTTCTAGAAAGGATCTAGCGCAACAAGCCGCCCAACAAGCTGCTGCCGCTGCCGCATCTGCAAGCGGTCAAAAATCACCAAGCCAAGGAGGCGAGAATGGGCAGTCCACCGAGAATGGAAGCGAGACCCCCAGCACCACGAAACAGGAGCGCCAGTCGGCCTCAGATGATAAGCCAGGAAATGATGGCGAGGACACAATGAGTAGTCAACGGACAGGGAGCATGGATAGCTTGGCCGAGATTGCTGCTCAGCAAGCTCACATGACGAGTCACCCTGGCGCCATGGATCGTGATCATCTGGACAGCCCATCGACGCTGGATCTCAATGGCTACGGCAACGTGCACCCCGCCTACGAGCGTCAAATGGGAGGGCACATGATGAATGGCCCACCCCATGCTCCCTACGGCTCCTCCCAAAACGGCATGTCCAGCTACCCCGATCTGCCATATGCTCTGCAGACTCAAAGCCCGACAGGCTATTCAGCAAGTGGGCCCAACGGCTTCCGCATCGGAAACAGCCCCCTCAGCGCCTACCCCATGGGCGGAGAGCCAACATCGCCTGGCTGGATGAACATGTCATCACCACCGCCTCAGTTTGCCTCGCACGTTCCACAAAGCAACTACAATCACTCGCCGCTGCGGTATCCGGTGTTGGAGCCGCTGGTTCCGCATCTGGGAAATATGATCCCGCTCTCGTTGGCCTGCGATCTCATTGATCTCTACTTCGCGAGCTCATCATCGGCCCAGATGCACCCCATGTCGCCTTACGTTCTGGGGTTCGTGTTCCGAAAACGGTCGTTCCTGCACCCTACTAAGCCTCGCCAGTGCCAACCAGCTCTCTTAGCAAGCATGCTTTGGGTTGCTGCCCAGACCAGCGAAGCTCCTTTCTTGACGAGCGTCCCTTCGGCGCGCGGCAAGATTTGCCAGAAGCTTCTTGAGCTCACCGTCAGCCTGCTCAAGCCCCTGATCCACACGCCCTCCGAAGAGGCGTCGCCAGTCTCGAGCCCCATCGTAGATGGTGTTGCTCTCGGCGGTCTCGGTGTGGCGCTTCCTGGTTCCATCAGCATGGACGCTCTCACGGGCGAGTCAGGGGCGTTTGGTGCTGCTGGCTCTCTCGACGATGTTGTTACCTACATACACTTGGCGACAGTGGTATCGGCCAGCGAGTATAAGGGCGCCAGCCTCCGGTGGTGGAACGCCGCCTGGTCATTGGCGCGTGAGCTCAAGCTTGGTCGTGAGCTGCCTCAGAACGCCCCGTCTACCCGCCAGGGCGGTTCTACCGACAGCGAAGAAGGCGAAGAGCGTGGAGAGATCGGAAGTCTTCAGGGTGTAATCACGGAAGAGGAGCGCGAGGAAAGACGACGGATCTGGTGGATCGTTTACATTGTTGACCGCCACCTCGCCCTCTGCTACAACCGCCCACTGTTCCTCCTTGACATTGAGTGCGATGGGCTTTATCAACCAATGGACGACACCGACTATCAAAATGGCATCTTCCATGCCTATACCGACCCCAACGTCCTCGCCTCGGATCCTGAGTCCTCCCAAAGCGTTCGTGGCCGCGGGCCATGCTTCGAGTGCACGGGCCACAGCATTTATGGCTATTTCCTCCCCCTGATGACCATACTCGGAGAGATCGTCGACCTTCACCACGCACGGAATCATCCCCGCTTCGGAGTTGGCTTCCGCTCATCACGGGAATGGGACGACCAAACCTCGGAGATCACTCGTCACCTTGAAATTTATGAGCGGAGCTTGAAGAGATTCGAGCAGCGCAACCTCAGCCTCAGCGCGCAGGCTCAAGCAGCTGATGAAAAGGCGGCCGAAGCTGCGGGCGTCCCTACTGCTAACGATATGCCCGCTGATGTTGGCACCCCATCGGTACACAGTGTCCACAGCGTTCACACCAACTCTAGCCGGATGACAGAGAGCGACATTCAGACACGCATTGTGATGGCCTATGGAACACATGTCATGCACGTATTACACATACTCCTGACTGGCAAGTGGGACCCGATCAACCTTCTCGATGACAACGACCTTTGGATTAGCAGCCAGGGCTTCATCACTGCCACTGGCCATGCTGTCTCGGCCGCCGAGGCCATTAGCAACATCCTCGAGTTTGACCCCGGTCTCGAGTTTATGCCTTTCTTCTTTGGCATTTACCTACTCCAAGGCTCGTTCCTTCTTCTCCTGATTGCCGATAAGCTGCAGCTGGAGGCGTCACCCAGTGTTGTCAAGGCATGCGAGACAATCATCCGCGCCCACGAGGCTTGCGTGGTGACGCTCAACACAGAGTACCAGCGCAACTTCAGCAGGGTCATGCGCAGTGCCCTGGCCCAAGTCCGCGGCCGTGTTCCCGAGGACCTCGGCGAGCAACATCAGCGCCGAAGGGAGCTACTCGCCTTGTACCGGTGGACCGGTGACGGCACCGGCCTAGCGCTCTAAATATCATGACTGTCTCAAACTCACCCTTTATCACTTTGCATGCGTCTCACATGCTGAGCAACCCTTAAACATGTTCTATTTATTCCTCTAATTCTCAATACACATACACGGTGGGGTTGGCGGTTTTTGTTTTTGGATGGCGTTTTCTCTGGCTCTTTTCAAAACCCAAAAGGCAAGGGTGTTGGTCGGTTTTTTCTTGGTGGATAGGTTGGGCTTCTTTCGGTTTCTTTCAGCGGGTGGCGACAGCGGGCTCGGTGGTTGGGTGGATAGGCAATTGGGCCCCAGTGGTGGGTTTTTATGAACTTGTGAAATGAACCTCTTTTGGAATGTCAGCCGATCGACCAGACTACACGGAAACAAAAACGGTCTGGTTATGTGGTTTCTGGTGTTTTTGTATTTTTGGATTCAAAATAAGTATATTGTTTCCTATGGCAGCGTTGTTCAACAAAGTGTACTTGTGGCAAAATGGCTTGTTCTTTTCTTGGAGTTTTTGTCATCACAAAACAGTCTTGGCTTTTGGGTTTTGGATTTTGTACCTGCTACAAATAGCACCTTTTACATTATATGTAAATAAAAAAGTCAGCTGGTGTATGAAAAGGTCAGCTGGTGTAGTGGTTATCAGAGACGTTTGTCTCACAAAAGGTGCTAGGTTCGATCCCTGGGTTAATCAATTCTTAAAAAAAATTCCGGTGTTTTCTGTAGTGCGAGGCGGCCACAGACAGCTAACTGTGTCTGATATAACAAAACATAAAATAGGTGAAGAAAGTCGACAGGAAGGTTCACCTTTGAAAGGTTAATAAGGAGTAAATCGCAAGCCTTAACTTACCAAGATAGCCAAGAAGAAGCTATTTGGAGTAGATAAAATAGCTTCTAAATAGCTTCTTCTCGGCCATCTTGGTAGGTTAAGGCTTGCGATTTACTCCCTATTGACCTTCCACTTGTGGACTTTTCCGGCGACTTTCTTTACCTATTTTATCTAATCTTTTTTTTCCGGCTATTTTAATAATTGAGGCTTTTTGATATAAAAAACTATGACATTATGTTGTGCATAGCTATGCACACTCTGTAGAGGATATTAGAACAGTTTGTCTATATTAACTTCTTCCTTTAATTAATTAATTTAATTCAATCAATTTAATACCTATTATTATTATACTATTCATTTATATATTAATAGTAATTGCGATCTTTTTTTAACTGTCTTTACAGTTAAATATCGAAATACTTTAAATCTATTTAAATACCCTATTCGTCTACCTACTTCCTTTAAATTAAACGCCCTATTTATTTAAATATACCTACATTAATAAATAGCCTATTTGCTTCTATCCTATTATATTAATAATAGATAATAACTAATATTAAATTAATAATCTATTAATTTAATTAACAGTTCTTTAAACAGCTTCTAATAGTCTACTTATTACCGTTTATCTTAATATCCTATTTAATAGTATATTAATTATTTTAAGATTATAATTAAATTATACTATATCCTTATATATCCTAACCTATTAAATAAAATGCTACTTTAACCTCTAATAATCCATTTAGTAATTAGCCTAAGCTTACTTTCTATTAATAAACTAAGTAAAAAAAGTATATTAATAATAGGTATATAATAAAAAGCTTTATATAAATTAATTAAATTAGAAAAAACCTAGCTATTTATATACTTAATACTGACTTAAAATATACCTTATAGATTAATTTACATATTAGTACTTTTAATTTATTAAAAATACTAAAAAGTTAAGACAGTTATTTAATCACTTGCAGTATTAGTTTTTTATCTATAACGTAAGACATACCTATACCTATACCTATATTGCTACCTCAGCCAGAATTCCCAAGTGCTAGAGGTTAGCTTACAAGAAAGCCTTCTATTGGAAGCAGTGTAGCCGGTGGGAGTAGTGTGGCCAGTGGGAGTAGTGTGGCCAGTGGGAGCAAGTTGTAGTTGATGAAAAAGTTTAAATTCAGGAGCTATATATAACCCTAACCCCTGTGGGAGTAATGCATACGTAGCAAAAAGGGTAATGCACCCCTAGCAAGTCTCAAAAATAACTAGCGGATATGGGTCATTACTAGGAAGTATCATTGGTCTACTGAGTGGCTTGGTGGATCCTGCTGTGGAGGCGGATTTTGGGGGCTGTCTGACTAATCCCGAATTTCTGCCGACGGCTCCTGGTGGCTGGCGCGAATCCTCCAAGGCCCAACGGAGTGCGCACACAACTTATTTTCATCCTTGCACAACTTCTTTTCATCCTTGAGCATCCCGCCCGTCATGACAGATCAGCTGCAATCGAAGATCATTGACGAAAACCCTATTGGGAATGGCCTTGATGCCTTCCGCGCTTCGTTCAATTCGATCTGCAAAGGCGCGCTCATATCCTGCACTCCTGACGCGCTCGAGCAACTTGGCCAAGAGGGTAAGCAAGACACCACAACTTCGTCTTGACATGACCTTCTAACCATTGTGTAGACCTCCAGAATCTCACCATGGATCTTATTGTGGCATTGCAAAGCCTTCGCGCCTCTCGTTTGCTCCGTTCTAGTGGCCGTGGCAGAAACCTCTTCAGCGATCTATTGAGGCTTCTTAACTCCGCCGTTAACTTCGGCGACTTCGACCTCGACCGCATCAAACCTCTCCTTAGGTCGGCCATTATCGGCGATAACGATGCCCTCATCTGGAAAGAAGTCTACAACACGGTTACCGAATCTACCCCGCCGCCCCAGCCCATAGCCTCCTCCCTTCAGCAAACCCCGTGGCTTCACAATACGGCCAGCTTCGCGAACTCCTCCGAGTACCGCAAAGATGTAGACAGAGTCCTCAGAGATGAGTTAGGCGTTATGTACGTCGGGCTCCCTCGATTCCACGAGACGTTTTTCGGGCAAGTGGCGGATCTCCAGACAGCATCCGAGGCTGTTTTCAAGAAGTGCAAAGAGGGCGGCGAATCACTCTTCAGTAATGGGTGGAGCGGATGGCCGAGAGATGCAAATCAGGACGATGTCTTGAGCTGGTTTGCAGAGTTGAGTGAGAAGCTGGCGGCGCTTGCAGAAGATTACAAGTCTATTCCGACACATCGACGAAGGCCACTAGCACAGCCCAACAAGCCGATCCAGGGCTCGACTGCGGAACGTAAGTTGGACGTCGGCTTTGTGGATAACCCAAAGGCCGGGAAGGACTCACGGTGCCACTGGTCACAAATCCTGGTACCAGGTGAGCTGAAAAGCAACCAAGCGGCCGACACAGCGGCGAAGGCGTGGCTAGACCTTGGCACGTACGCGAGGGAAGTCCTCGCCGCTCAAGACACTCGTCGCTTTGTCTTGGGCTTCACCATCTGCGGATCTTTCATGAGGATATGGGAGTTTGATCGGCTTGGGGGCCTCGCATCCGAGCGGTTCGATATCAACGAAGATGGGCTGCGGTTTGTGTCTACGGTCCTCGGGTTTCTCTGGATGAATGAAGAGGAGCTCGGCTTCGATCCAACATTTACAACGGCCAACGGCCAGCGGTTCATTGAGATCGAGCGGAACGGCTCGAAGGAACGCCTCATCATTGACGAGGTGATGCAACGAGCACGTTGCGTTGCCGGTCGGGCTACGACATGCTGGAAAGCTCATCGCGAAGGGCAGCCACAGATACCGCTGGTTATCAAAGATTCATGGCAATATCCGGAACGCGACGAGGAAGGCGAATTATTACGCGAGGTGACCAGCAAAGGCGTCGTCAACGTGGCCAGATACTATTATCACGAAACGGTTCAGATACGCGGAACGGATGACGACGTCCGAACAACGTTCGAGGAGGACTAGACGTCACCAGCGCGAAGAACTACCGGCCGGAATGGGGGGTGCTCCCGTCGAGTACGACTGCCTCGGCTTCGCGAAAAGGCAGTAGCAGCAGTGTAGCTGCTGGCAAAAAAAGGTCGTCCACTCAAACCGGCGCCTCTTTGCCACACAGCAAGCGGGCTTGTTTGGTATCTCCAGTAAAAGCCGGTGGCGATCTGTCAAATCGGGTACATCGTCGTGTCATTCTTCGCGACTACGGGAAACCTATCTACAAGGCCAGCTCCCTCACGTCTTTGCTTGCCGCACTTGACGGCTGCATTGAAGGGCACGAATCCCTACGCAAGGCCGGCATCCTGCACAGAGACATCTCTATCAATAACCTCTTGATCAACGAGGACGTCAATAATCCCTCCTGGCCTTCCCTTTTGATTGACCTGGATCTTGCCATCAAAGAGCAACGAGAGGGCGCGTCCGGAGCCAAAGGGAAGACTGGCACGAGGGCATTCATGGCAATCGGGGCGCTTCTAGGCGAGCAGCATTCCTTCATGCACGATCTCGAGTCATTCTTTTGGGTGTTGTTCTGGATATGCATTCATTGTAAAGGGCCGAACGAGCACAGAGTTGTCGCACGGTTCGACAAGTGGAATTACATCGACACAGAGGAGTTGGCGGAGCAGAAGAAAGGGCAAGTATCTCATGAGGGGGACTTTATCAGGACCGCTAAGGAGAATTTTACTCCTTATTATCAACCATTGATACCTTGGGTCAACCGGTTACGGAAAGCTGTATTTCCAAATGGTGGGAGGTGGGAGAGAGAAGACAGAGGGCTATATTCGGATGCGGCAGATCCTCCAGGAAGCCCAAAAGGATCCGACTACCTAAGCAAGAGCCAGGCAACCTGGTATTTGTGTAACTACCTTGCTTTATTGTCTGCTCGTTTCAGCCGATCCCCCAAAGGTCGACAGGCCTTAAAATAGTATAATAGGCCTTTAAAGATAGTCAGTAGACCTTTAAAGATAGTCGATAGGCCTTAAAATAGTATAATAGGCCTTTAAAGATAGTCAGTAGACCTTTAAAGATAGTCAATAGACCTTAAAATAGTATAATAGGCCTTTAAAGATAGTCAGTAGACCTTTAAAAATAGTTAACAGGCCTTAAAATAGTATAATAGGCCTTTAAAGATAGTCAGTAGACCTTTAAAGATAGTCGACAGGCCTTAAAATAGTATAATAGGCCTTTAAAGATAGTCAATAGACCTTTAAAAATAGTTAACAGGCCTTAAAATAGTATAATAGGCCTTTAAAGATAGTCAGTAGACCTTTAAAGATAGTCGATAGGCTTTAAAATAGTATAATTATTGTGAGATTCTACACCTCTGTAGGACTCACCTAACGTCATAGTCCACTTTATACAATTCCTTAAAAAGGATCCGTAACTTAAGAGCTCTTAGGGGAAGCTTCTTATTTTATTCTTACCTTTTACTATAAATCACATCCTATACACGATGTAATTATTGTATTCTTATTTCTTTTCTTATTCTTTTTTTCTTTCCTATATACAAATATGCTTAATGACCTTCCTAGCTTTAATTTCCTATAGTAAATCCAACCTTAGAAAATACCTCTATATCCTCTTTTATAAAGAAAGCTTTTATTAAGCCTCTTATTTATATACCTTCTATATTAACTACCAAAGCCTATATAAAGAACCTCCTTACGAAGGCTCCTTAGGAATTTTCTCCGGACTTTCTTATAAACCTTCTTATAGAACCTCCTTTAAAGCCTTCTTTAAAACCTCCTTCGGAACCTTCTTTTAGGAACCTTCTTAAAAAGCCTCTATTAGAACCTCCCTTAGAATCTTCTTAAGGAGCCTCTACCG